AGTCATTCCTGACCAGATCTGACCTAACTCCATTATCACTATTATGACCTACATTATCTTCTATCACCAATCAAGAATCTTGTCGTTGATAGATCTATTCATGTACATGTCTTTGTTCTAGTTTGGTTTGTATGGTTATGTGCAGCTTGCCTTACTCAATAAGTTCTAGCTATTAGAACTGGAAAATAAGGTGAATCATTTGAAGTTGTGCTTTTGTCATAGTTCTCCTTCGTGTTGAAACATCCAAACCATTCCATCTAGAGGGGAGGCCAACAAAAAAAAGAAGAAGGTATAAAATCAGACATTGATTGAATTAGTGAGGGTCGAAGGGCAACAACTTCTAGTTCACCAATATCTCAACTTAGTAGTTGTTAATCAGGTGTTGCAACCAGAAAAGTTTGGATGAATGACTAAGTAAGATTGGGTGGCATTGGATGCCCAAGAGGCTATGCAAGAGCCAACATCTATCATCTAAGATGCTAAGAAAAAAGCCTGAGCTGGTACGCATACAAAGCCTACTCACCCCAAAGCTATTATGGTGATGGGCCGAAAGGTGCCTATGGTGGTTTATGCAAGGGAAATTCTTGAAGTTGCAGACATTGTTCACTATATATATAAGTTACTTTTTGTTATTCAAAGGATTTCCAAGGAATGTTAAATCTTATTGAGGGGAAATCTACATCGATCCCCACTAAAAGCTCTTTATTAGTTGCAGGTCCTATGGGTGCATAGCACCAAGAAATAGACATGACACTAAACTAATTGGAATCAAGTGTTGTTGAGGAGGAAGCCTTGACTGAAAGACCAAAAAATGGGTAAGTCAGCCCTCATTTGTCCTCTCAAATATTTTTTGTATCTATCAATGAAGGGTGAATCTAGTCAAATCTGTTTCATTGCCTTGAGCAAACTCGAGGCTGACTCCAAGCCTCCTAATCAGGAAGATGAGGTATGTCATCAAAAAGCAAAAGCTTCAACCATTGATCCAAATGTCTTGCCTCTTCCCCCTCCCCAAAAGAAGCAGAAAGTTTCCCCACTTACATAGGTCCTAACGCACATAGGCCATAAGGGTGAAGGCGAGCACTACCTCTATTGATCAATTTTCTTTGATCGATCTAAGTAGGGACATGTACTAAGATTCCCCAATGACAACACTATACCATTCCAACATTACCAATGTGATTTGTTCTTAAGCTTTCAAGAAGATCCTTCATGAGCAAAGTCTCTCAGGTCTGAGCCAGATGACCGATTGATATCAATTTATTGCCTAGGAGACTTCGCACTTTCTTTTAATGAACATGATGGAGGCTGAAGAGAAGTTGGCCCAGGCAAAGGATAAGTTGAAGGTAGCAAAGAAACAAGTGAAAGTGTTTGAAGCAAAAGTACTCAAAATGTCAGAGTCGTTATCGTCAACTCAGAGAGAAAATCAAACTCTGTGGGAAAAGATTGTGAGTGATTTCTTTATTGAGCTTCCTCCTCACCCTCGGCAAGCGGAGACCCTTGTTATGTAGCTCAGAGTTAGATTATCCTTGGCTATCAACATGAAGATAAATTCAAAGCATGTTTCCCTCGAATCGTCCTATTTGAATAGATTTGCTACTTTACTTTCAAATCAGAGATATAGGGTGTGAAAGAGGACAAAATCAATGAAGATGATGGAGATTCTTCAAACGTTTGACTCGTATTCAGCTTCGATTGTGACTTAAGTAAAAATTTTATTTTTCTTTTTTAATACTTATAAAGAAACTCATAGAGAATTATTTGTGAAGAAACAAATAAAAAATCATTTAAAATTTTCAATCATGGAATAAATTAAAGCTTCAATCAATTTTCACTTTTGTTTCTTGTGTTTTACCTTTACCACATGTTTTATTTTCTTTGTGATAAATGATTGTGATGATTGATGGATAAGATTTTTTAAAAATGCCCTATGTTGGTTTCACTGTGTTACCTCTAGCTTAAGTCTTACACTTCTCATGTCATGGTCACTCAGTTAGATTGTCGTCTTAGATGAGACGCACCTTATGCTAGATGTATTAAGTGGATCTTATCGTAGCCTTCATAGGGGCAACCATCAAGACTTATTGTTGGGGTGATTCATGTGGTACATAATGCCGATATTATCACTAATGGGTAGGGAAAAATCACCATAACTTGACCTATAGGAGACAATTTTTATGATGCATGAGGATTATGGGTTGGATCTTGTGCACTTTACTGATCGGACGTTAATTGTTGTGGTTAGTCAAGTTTAGATGATTTTTAATGATTGGTTGTTTATTTTTCCTTATCTGTTTTGGAGAAACTTTACCAATTAGACGTCTTACTTCATTTTTAGTTTTAGAAAAGCTTTTATGTATGGAATATCATGCGTCGATGCCAGTTTTGCCGCTAGGAATGAAACTAATATTCGCAGATCGGTTCAAGTTCCTCGAGTGTCGGTCAGATTTTGACAATTTCTTTAATGAACTTCTCAAGTTCTCTGAGTTTAGTTGGACCTAGTATTGTGCTCTTAAATAGAAAAATTTTTACTTAACCAATTTATGAAATTGACAAAAAATAGAAGGGTTGGAATGACAAAGCCATCTCATTGTTGAGTTGGGCACTGGTCAGGATAACATGTCAGATTCCCTTGGTGTTACATTCCATTAGGTACTTGATTATCAGAGTGCCCCGTGAATCTTCAAGGCAAGTTTGAGTCGAGTAGTAAGTATTGTGTCTCGCCTCCCAACTTTCTCCATAGTCTATTCTCTTTAATGGATGGCAGTTAGCTTCCTTGGTTCTGAATGATCTTACATAGTTATATTCTTTTGCTTATATATGAGTGTTAGATAATTTTAACATCATGGAAGCGTCTTTGTTCATTGCAAGCCCAAATTGTACCAGAAAAGTCCTTCTTTCAGCCCTTGAGCTAGGGCAACATGAGCTACAATGGGCGCCGAATCTTATGCTTCCAACATCACCTTCTGGAAGTGGGTGATGAATGAGCAAAGACTCTCATTTTGTCCTTGTCTGATCTGTCGGAAGGCTAGTGAATTCTTCTACTTCTTCCAAACATTAGCAAACTACACCAAAAATATTCCCTTGAAGTCAGCAAACAACAAAGTCATTCTTGGGGGTAAGGCATTGAAGCATCTGTGGGCTGATTCCGTCAGCGTGGTAAAAAAAGATGGCATTTCAGCTCATCGTGGATCCTCAGCAGACACATATTCAACTCGAACGAGGCTATTTGGTCGGTTAAATCAGTTTTTACCCTTAGAGCACTCTAATGTTGAGATCTTGAACCTCTCTGGGGGCCCGACCTCAAAGAATTGCTGATATAAGACATTGTCTGGCTATTAGGGTGTCTTAGCACACCCGAACCAATGTTGGTCAATTAGTGTTAATTCAACACTGCCAAAGTTTTGAAAATCTCCTTCGCTTTCTAGAGCCAAAGAAGCTTTTTGGTTGTTAGGCTCTAGCCCTTCCTCTCAGGGATGTTGCACTCTTCCCCAAGCCCATGCCTCTTGGATGGCATCTAGCATTTGATCCTTCAGCTCCTGGGTTTGTTGGTTCATGAACTCTCTCATATTATTAGTGTCTTTGTTATAATTTTCTACTCCGTATGTTGCTTCTCTTCTTGTCCGTGGTATGATCCACGCTCACTGCACCTTTAACAATGTTGAATTGTGATTTATTCATGATTCACACCAAAAAAATGAATCATAAGAGAAGAGAGAGAGAGAGAGAGAGAGAGAGAGAGAGAGAGAGAGAGCTAGAGAGGAGTGAATATTAGTGAACATCAATACTCCGTGTTTATCTTCCATGTTCTCATAAAATGATCTCTCTATTTATTGCAGAGAGTGTATAACATAGTAATATTACATTTTTGTCCCTAATTTAATGGGGGTTGTGTAGAATATTTTGTATTTTACACATATGAGTGTATGGCTCGGCTGGTTGAGCTTGTGGCTTTGGCTCAATAAGGCTTATTTGGTCGGCTATATTGATTTGGTGATGTTGTTCGACTGAGATTAACTGGCTCTTGGACACAAGATTAATTCTATTGGCTAGGCTTTCTTGATTGATTGCTCTAGTTTAGTTGTCAATCTACGATCCTTAGAAGAGGAGCTCTTGTCGGGGCGAGACTAGACTATCAAGCAGAGGGTCAGTCATCAGAACCCAATGGGTATCTCGTTCCTCAATGAGGAGAGCATGTGGGATTTCTATAAAACTGTAGTATTGTTAATTTTTTATCCCTGATGGGGAGCCTCGGGGACATCCATGGGATGGTAGGTGACATCAAGGAACTAGATTTTTCCTTTGGTCAGATCTGCCAGTAGATAGTCGACTATATTGGGTCGGCTCTTATGTAGTGGTTGCCTCGAATGCTTACTTATCCTATTTATGTTCGATTAGTTTAAATTCAGATCAGTCGGCCGTCCCTTTGCTCTTCTTATGGCTCAATCGACCTTCAGATTTGCTTGAGCGGCTACATCTAGTCAGTCTTTTGCTTTGGCTCGAGTGGTTGCATCTGGTCGGATAAGTAAGTGTCATGGTGTTCTGTCGATGAGTACTCTTTTGTTGTCCTCTCTTATTCTCTTCCTTCTAGAGCATTAGATTTGCTCGGCATCAGTGTTGACACATTTTTTAGATACGCTGTATATATATATATATATATATATTATTTTTAAACAAAAATTTTGTAAAATAGAGTGATTTTTTTATATTTTATTAAGTAGATCATCCAATAATCATGTCATTTAACATATGAAAATCAGAAACAACGAACATAACCTTGTGCCCTCAGATGGGATCCATTTACTTCAAAAATAAGGAACCATTATCATAATTACTTTTATAATAAGCACACCATACCGACTCATATTAACTTAATAAAAATGCTGTGTCCGAGATATTTTTAAAATAGAAATAAAAATTTGGTGGCTTTATAAGCAAGACAAGTAATTGCAGTAAAACGAAAGCCCCCCTTGGCCTCTAACAGAAGCCGATTCACAACCAACATGGCTCATTCTAAACCGGCTCCGGTTCGGCTCGGTTTCCTTCTCTTCTTCCTCATGGGAACGGTGGAGCTGGGCGGAGGCAGCAGCCTAGCTTCCGAACGAACGGTCAAACTACGGAGAAGGGCTTTGCTGGATAACGGACTGGGTCGAACACCCCCAATGGGGTAAGCAGTAAGCTCTTCTCGGCTTGGTTCGGAGATGAACCGCCTCTTGTCTAGTTGGTTCTTGAACCGCCGGTTCAACTTGTGTTGAAGAAAAACTGAAAATGTGTTTTCTGCTGATGTGCATCAGCTGGAACAGCTGGAATCATTTCAAGTGCAACCTCACAGAGACGCTTATCAAAGAAACAGGTAGTATGAAGAAAAAGTAGTTTAATGACCTCTTTTATGAGGCTTTTTTGTTGATAGATATATGGATCTTAATATCTTAGCTATATATATATATATATATATGAATGACCAAAGGCTATTAGACGAGCCACGGTCATTTTTAGGTGTGTTAAATATTCGAGTATCACACCCTACACACGAGGGGATTCAAACCCGTGACCTGAGAAGCTTATAACCTTCAGAGAGGCATCATATATATATATATATATATATATGTTCATTTTTTAAAAGGAATAGCTGGAGGTTATTAGATGAATCTCGACTATCCCTAGGTGTGCTAAATATTCTAGTAACACATCCTACACAAAGGCGGATTCGAACCCGTGACCTGAGGAGATTTACTATCTTCAGAGAGACTGTTGTACCAACAAGCCACCCATCTTAGCCATGCATGCAGGAAAATGTGTATTTCTTTTTTTTCTTCATACATAAAATGGTGATAATTTTTATGGGACATGAAAGATTTGGATGGTATAAATATAACAACTAAAGTTTAGGTGTTTGATATGCAAATACATAGGAATTCAGTGAGACGAAATTTAAATTTGATTAAGAATTTTAAGAAGTTAGGTGTCAGATATGTAATTTTTTATTCAAATCAAATCTGATTAATGTAAATGAGCTCAATCTTAAAGCTGCCAAGTAAACGGATAGACGTATGATATATTTATCTCTATTTAATGTTAAAATATTTCTGAGTAATTTTGAGGACGATGGCATCATCTCTTTTGCAGCTGATGCAATGGTGTTCAGCGGGCTTGCCTCGTTGGGTTATCACTACATAAATTTAGGTTTGGTTTTTGTTTTGTTTTTCATTTGTTGCTTTTATAGGGACTAATTTGCTTATGTGTTGTTTTTTTTTCAAATTTTCGTTTTTTTTTAATTAATTATTATTTTTTTTCAGATGATTGCTGGGGAGCGTTTGATAGGGATTCCATGGTGAGTAAAAATGAATGCGTCTTTTATTTAAAAACAGAAGAAAATATCACATCAGGGCTCCTGATGTAATTTGCATTCGGAGTCCAATAGTAGGGTGTCACGTGTAAAGTGAGCCTACTGTAATACTCTGGAATTGATCAGTGTTAAAATTTATGGAGCCCATTTGACAAATGACACCCCACCATTAGACTCTAAATGCATCAGGAGTCCTGATGTAATATTTTTTTTCTAAAAACAGAGTGTTATTTTAATTTGATTGTCATAAACAGTAAATAGCTCGTTTTAATTCATGTTGAATGAACATTAATTTTATTTTTTATTTTTTTGAAATTGAGGATGAAATTATGAATATTAATAACCCTCCGTATGCCTTTGTCAGGGATATCTTCAACCTAATTCATCATTGTTTCCTTCTGGTATCAAGGCACTTGCAGACTATGTGCATGCAAAAGGGCTCAAACTTGGAATCTATGGAGATGCAGGGTATTATTTTATCCCCTCCATTTATTTTCATAAGTTTTATGATATCATTAAGCTTAATATTTGATAATTTCACCTTATATTAATCAGTTTATTATATATATATATATATTAAATTATATATAGACAGAGAACATGCACTAAAAGAGTGCCTGGATCACTTGGATATGAGCTAAGAGATGCGAGAACTTTTGCTTTATGGGTAAATTATATTTTGCAAACGGTTTAAGAAATCATATAATCATCCAAAAAGAAAGAAATTTATGATTTGGTAATTATAGTAAATTGTATCATTGTTGTCTTTCAGGGAATTGATTATCTAAAATATGACAATTGCAACAATCTTGGCTTAAGTCCAAAGAAAAGGTATGTATTCGATGAATGTTGATGAAGTCAGAAAAAAATTTTCGTATGGAGTGTGGATGCAAATCTGCATCAGGACTCCAAGAAAAACTTGTCTTTTGTATCTGACTGGACCTACCTAAAAAATGACGAAAAGGCGCTTATTGTGGTGTTATCGTAAAATAACTCTAATAAAACCACAATAACATCATAATACCACTGGTACCGCAGTTTCACTTTAGTAACCTGCAAAACAACTTGAATAACACCGCAATAATACCGGTGATCAGCGCCAATGACCCCTACCAAACAACTTCACAATAACACCGTAATAATACCCGTGAACAACGCCAATAACACTGCCTGGAGGACCACGCAAATAACATTGTGATGTTTTGGGGCGTTATTGGCGTCTTTACGTCATTTTTAGGTGGATCCAATCAGATACACGTGACAAGATCTGTATGAAATTTTTTTTCATGAAATCTGGCTTTGATTGTCCATTTGAGCAATTTTATGTTTTTGTTTTTCTTTATATTTTGTTTTGTGTGAGCACAGATACAAGAAGATGAGTAAGGCATTGAAATACGCGGGTAGAAAAATATTCTTCTCCATATGTGAATGGTAATTTTCTTACAATAAAAAGTAGTTATTCTATACATCAAGCACATAAATCTTCGTACATAATAGCTGTTTGTACAAGTGCATTAGATGCACGAGAGTCTTACAAACCTATTTTTATACATCAATTGATGTGGACATGGATGTATAGTTTCATGTCATTGGGACATGCACACCCAAACACTGATGCACACTCTCTAAACACATCTGTAAATACTATTTGGAATGTATCTGGGATAGATATTATAGGGAAGTGGAGATAATTTTATAACTATCTCTTTACTGCTGAATTTATTCAATCCATCTTTCATTCATTGTAATAACTCTTCCTAACTATTATAAACATGTTATGTATCGCCTAATGCCACCTAAGATCAAAAAATTTGTTTCATGAACCTCTAAGTACTATGTGAGGAAATGGTTGCATGGTGATGTCACTTATTCATCTCATTTATTTAGCTATGTGTTGAAGTGGAAGTTAAAAAGAGGAATATGGAGTGATTAGATGTTAGTAGTTATCTTGGTTCTTATCTTATTGAGAGATTTTTATTAGGGGGGCCACAAAAATTATAGTAAAAACATAGAAGTGAAAGTTGAAAGTTGGTGGTCATCTTCTAAATATAAAATCAACATCTATCATATAAGAATTGGTAACTAGTAAGGTGATCGACTTTCTTCTATATGTGATCAGAATAACTGGTAGGGGATCATGCTTAGCCTAAGTGAGATAATAAAAAAGAGAGAAATGAAAAGTAGTAAAACATTATTTTAAAATATATTTTAGAGTAAATATGTGTATACGGTCCTTATTTATTTTTTTAACTTATTATCATTATATGAGTCCATGGATGTTGGACAATCAAGAAAGCACCAAAATATGATGTTCTCTTAACACATTAGTTTTCTTGCATTACAGTGATAATCATTGCTCTTTGTTGCATAATTTTTCTATAATAATTGGTACTAAAGATAAGTGTCAAAAAGTTCTATGAATTGAAAAGGAGGGGACAACGACATACAAAGATTGAAAAGTTAGGATTAATCTCCTTAATTGCAAGGGGTTTTTATACACTAGAGAATTCATATTGAGGATTGATATAAGAAAATTTTACATATATCTCTTTTTGAGTTAAATCCAACAATAAAAACCTAAGAATATTGTGATTTCCTAAATAGGCAAGCTTTGAAAGTTCTATGTTTGACAATAACAAGGTTTGTTTCCTTCAAAAAAAAAATGGCAGGATTAAAGCACCTAAGACATGTATAATTTCACAGCTGTATCAGATTTGCTACTTCACATAGATGACTTTCATAAGAGAATACATCGAAATTTATTCTCCAAGTGGAGTATTGTTAAAGTATGAAAATAATTCACCTACCTTGATTGTAAGCTCAAAAGCTACATCATGAGCTTTTTACACGTACTGTTCATGTATTCTTAAAAATTACATGACTTGTGCAAGTATATTTCATACAAGCTAAGGTCATTTACTTACCCTCTAATTTCTAAGCATTATATATATATATAATATATATAAAGAATGGTTGCATGTTGTTGATGGGCATTGCTTCTTCTTGTCAGTCAACTAGTTATAGATACAAAACTCAAAGAAGTGGCTAAGGAATGATAGGAGGTTCAAATTTGTTTTAGTTGGTATCAAATACAGAGTTTTTTTGTTGGGTAGTTGGAATCATTTAGTGAAAGGTTGGAAGAGTGTTTTATGTTTAAGGTCATCTAAAGAAAAAATTCAACAATTATCATCGAGGTTATTAAACAACACGGTGTTCTAACATAGGAGACAACAAAATTACATATCTTTATGCATTCTGTGGTGAAAAAAATTAGCAAAGGAATCAAGTTTAAGTTGACAGAGAGAGAGAAAGAGAGAAGAGTTCTAGTAAGATAAAACTACAAAAATAAATTAGGGTAAATAATCTCACTTTACTATTTTATTTCAATTAGTGGACAATTATCTCTCATTGATAGTGGTAGAGTTATAAATCTTTCCTAACTTCTTTATATGTATGACTTGTTTCCAAGTTTGTAGTTCATTTCATTCCTTATTCCAAGTTTGTATCATATTTACTTGATGATAAATTTGATTATGATTACTTCATATAAAAACTCTTTTTTGATGATCAACATAAATTAGATAATTTTTCTTAAAATAAATTTAAAATATTATAGATTATTTTATTTTAAAAAGTGTAAACTGCAAAATAAATGTAATTTAATAGAATAAGATAAGAAGAGGCATACCTTATCGGCATGGAGGCCATGGGATTAGGCAAGGCATCAACAAAAATCAAAGGTGGTGGTGATGAGATCAACAAGGGGACTTACCCTCTATATGATAATGAGATGAGAAAAGGTAGACATGGTGGCTAATTAAGGCCCGAGAATAAGAAAAGATGAGTTTGTGAGGGCACGAAGACAAGAATATGAATGTCGGGAAGGAAAAAATAAGGGATAACATGTGAAGGCTGAGTATGAGTTAATGCATGAGCATAAGTGAAATAAGTGGAAAATTAAGGGGGTTATATTTGTCCAAAAAAACATGCAAAATAAAACACTGTAAGCTTAACAATTTTTGGATCATGTCCACTAATTTTGCCTATGCTCTTTACAATCATTGAGATAAGTCTATCTCATCAAATCACATAAGCTCCCTTCTGTTCATCGTTTGATGTTCTCTTTGCAAGTTTTTTTTCTTAATTATAGTAATCATTATTGCTTGTGTGCGTATGTTTTTTTTCTAATAAAGTGTGTATAAATTTGTCCACCCCTATACACACACTTGTTTTTAGTACCCAAAACATATTTGTACTCAATCTTTATAAATTTTCAAAATGATATGGATAATACTCATTGTTAATAACTTTAAAATGAAATAGAAATCACAATAAGATAAGAAAAAAAATTTATTTATTTCAATGATTAGTCATCGTACATCCATGTTCATATAAGTTTTACTCCTATTATTTCTTTTAAAATAGCATATATAAGATGTCCTTCAAAATGTGAAGGTGAGGTTGGCCATAAAAATGTATAAAACATATTTATAATAAGATATTTTCATACTAGGTGTATGGAATATACCATAAAATTTATGATTTTAGTGTGCATAAACAAGGAAAAAATATGCAATCGTGAACTAGCATTAAGTAAGAATCAAACAACATACCCTACGAAATAATAGGAAGATATGCTAAGACTAGATATGATTAACTTGGGCACATATTTTTCTTACATAATAAGTTTTGTTGAGCTTAATAGGCATGCCTAGCTAGCTAGAAGCCATTTATATGTAATTTATGTCATTAATTTCAGGGGACTAGAACACCCTGCAACATGGACATCAACAGTAGGGAATAGTTGGAGAACAACGGATGATATTCAAGATGATTGGGATACGTAAGTAAAATCATAATAATTTTTTTGCTAACAAGAATAAAAGTATAGAGTTTCACTAATTATCATAATGTTTCTCTATGATATTTTTTAGCATGACTGATCGCGCTGACCAAAATAACAAGTGGGCATCATTTGCAGGACCTGGTGGATGGAATGGTGAATGTTCAAATAATGTCTAAAAGTTTCTTCTTTTAATATTTATTTTTAATGATATCTTATTTATTGACAAATCAAAATATATTTTTGAAATATTTTCCTACCACTCCTACGTTTCAATGAATCTAACACATATGTATATGGCATCATACCTGTGCATGAAAAAGTGTGCCTATTTTCTTCAGATCCAGACATGCTTGAAGTAGGAAATGGTGGAATGAAAGTTGAAGAGTATCGGTCGCATTTCAGCATTTGGTCACTGGCCAAAGTATCAAAATAAGAGCTATATTGACTTATTATTTGCTTTTCATTATGATTTATCAAAAACTTCATCACCTTGAGTTCCTGTTACATGCCATCTCTTGATTATTGCAGGCACCTTTAATTATTGGTTGTGATGTTCGAAATATGAGCCATGAAACATTTGAGATATTAAGTAACGCAGAAGTCATTGCAGTGAATCAAGGTGTGTATTAATCAAATTAAAATTTTCTCTTCTATTTTCTTTCCAAGACATTTACATGCATACCACTCAATCCTTCTGTATTTATCTAACATCTTTTTACATTTATATCATTCAAATCATTCATATCACATCCAACAATAACACAATTATAATTTTTAAAAAATGAAATACGACTTTTCATGCATACGTAATGTGGCATGTTCTGTAAAACATTGAAGTTTAGGTGTTAGATACGTAAATACATAGGAGTTGATTGGTATGTATGTAAATCTTCCTTTCTTTTTATCTCATTGTGGTATCCAAAATTGTCCGGCAGACTTGAACACAAGATAGAGAGAGAGGAGAAAGGGAGAGCGAAAGCACAGTATAGACGGTAAAATCGCATAACCATTATTCAAGAAACACCCTATTGACAAGTTGTGGATGAAGGAGGGGGGGGGGGGGGGGGGGGGTAAATTGCATTATGTATCCCAAGAATACGTAGAAATGATGGACGTATTTTGGCCAGTACATAAATAAAAGGTCGGGAGTCTGGAAAGACGCATGGCAGATGGGATAGGGACCCCGTGAAGGCATCCGACCTGATAGGGCCGGGAGCCTATGATGGCCACCGCCTGGTCTTTTTTGGGGTCAGGCGACCAATCGCTATGGACATGGGGAAACTAACATTTAGGCTATATCTTGAGGTCTTATGCTTGCAAGGACTAACCAGGCAACTCCGGCTAACAGCTTTAGACCCAACCAGTTGGGCTCAATCACCCGACCCGACTACAAAAAAAAACTGTCGGACTTGTTCACTGAGTCTTATGCTGGTGGACTTTCAGAAGAATGGTCGAACTATGTCTGTCTAGAAATTTTCTTCCTTCTGCCCTGTAGGAGCAGGCTAGTTAGGCCTGGATTTTGTTCGTCCCTGACGGGTCCTAGGATGCCATGTCATCTCTCCTAAAGGCCGTCAGCTTTTTTATGATTCGTGCGGACACATTTTTATGTGCATATATAAGTTCCCCAATTCTTTTACTTATTTATAACAACATATGCGATAAGGATAAGAAAATCTTAAATTTAAAAAAACTATTAGTATTGATGACTATTAAAAATGTAATAATTAAAAACTCCTACGATTCCACATAAAGATACCTATAAATAAAGATAATAAGAGGAAAAACTTACTCTACTTGGCCTTTCTTGGTGTTGATTGTCTTCCTTCATCTATTGTCAATGATCATGGAGGGTAATTCCCCCTCCAAATCAGACAAGTTCGGTGATGATTTCTGAAAGAAAATTGTCTAGGCCATGCCTCTCAGAGCGTGCGTCTCGAGAATCCTCATACAGTAGAAGTGAGACACCTTTACCTTGTGGATGTAATGGGTCATCTGACTCACTTTCCCACCGTCCCATGGAGAGGTCCCATGCAAGAGAGCGTAGATTTCCCATTAAGAAACGCCAGACAATATTGGTAACCCAACTAGAGGGTAGGCTGGCAAAGCCATCAACTTCTGTTTGGGATCTTCCTATGTTGGTGGAAGAATAGTGGTAGGAGGCTGAAGCTGCGGTGGCGCTCATAATGTAATAGACGGTATCTGTTCAGGATGCAATCCATGACCCTCAGCTGATTGACGTCTCAGAGGTGGATGACTCACTCCCATTGATGGAACGAGAAATTAGGGAGGGAGTTTTGCCTTTTACCACCTCCAATTTGCATTAGATTTTGTGTCTGTCATATGGTAGAAGAACTAACACTCCGCCTCTCTTGGAACGCAGTGCTACCAGGGATGAATAGGCATCCTGGGACCTACCAGAAACTATAAAAATCTCCAGATCAATCGTCAGATTAGCGATAATGTCTTCAGACCATCCTCCCAAAAGTATGGAACCTTCGGTGGATCCCAAATTAGTGGTAACATCTCTAGCGCAACTCGACAACAATCTCCAGTAGAGGTGGCATCCTTGTCGGGCGAATAGGCACTTGTTATGGTATGGCTCATGTAACATACAAGGACAGACGCAAGAACGAAGTGGAGCGGAGCGGAAGAATCTGTCCAAATCAGGAAGTTAAGTTATGTGAGTTGGGGGTGCGAGGGCAACGCCCCACGGTACGGTACGAGGGTAATGTTGTAATTACATGTTGTACTTAGGGTTTACTCCTGGGGTTATAGATAAGCATGTTTTTAACCCTAGGAGGTATCCCGAATTCTGTAACCCTTTTCTGAATATTAAAAGGAATCACTGCTCTGCTCCCGAGTACGTAGGCATCTTAGTCAAACCTCGTTAAATCTCTGTGTGTTCTTCTGGATTTGTGTTGATTTATATTTTTCTTCACTCTAATTTCTCAACAAGTGGTATCAGAGCCTGGTTCTAGGGCAGAGGAGAAATCTTGGTGCAGAGGAGTTCAGCGGAACAAGGTTCTAGTGCAAGGAAGAATAATCTTGGCATAAGGAAGAATTTTTGCAGCGGTTTTGAGGCTGTTTCTTCGGACGTACTTCGGCGGTTTGACGTAGGTGAAGAGATAGGCGAGTTCAGCGAGGCTTCTTCTGCGACCAGGCAGAAGATTGTGACACTTCAGGCGAAGAAACCAGGTTTTGCAAAGCTTCGCATTCGCATGTGACAGAGGTGTGAAAGGCAGAATTGGATGGGAAAGATTTCCTTCTGTGCGCAGAGTGGGAAAGGAAAGATTTCTTTGGATTTCGTTTGCTAGAGGCTGAAGAAAGGAAATTTCCTTCCTTTGTTGGAGTTGAAAAATATTTCCTTTCCTGAGAAGTAATATTTCATTTACTAAATTGGAAGTAAGGGAATCAAGTTTTTGGAAAGAAAATTTCGTTCTTTGCAGGAGCTATTTTGAGATTGGAAGGAAGAATATTCCCTCGCTTAGAGGACCAGTTCGGGAAAAGAAATTTCCCTCCTTCACTTGCAGGCAATTTGCTGGAGCAATTCCTTCCTTTGTTGGAGCTTTGTAGGCGGTTTGCTGGAGCAGAGATTAGAAGGACGTAGATTGTTTGTTGGAGGTACAGGCTACAAAGGGAAATTCTTGCTGCGGAAGAGGAAATTCTCGGTGAACGTAGGGATTTTCCAGGACACGAAAAGGCAAGGAACAAAGGAAAGATCTTGAAGAAATTTGCGGAAGAATTTGTTGCAGGTTCAATTTCAAATGACAATATCTAGTGCAAAATTTGAGTTGGTGAAGTTCGATGGAACTGGTAACTTTGAATTATGAAAAATAAGAGTAAAAGATCTGTTGGCTCAACAGGGAACCTTGAAAGCTTTGCGGGCAGTAAAACCAGATGTCATGGAGGATGAAGATTGGAAAGAACTGCAACAACGAGCGGCAGCAACTATACGCCTATGCCTGACAGATGAAGTTATGTATCACGCGATGAATCTAAAATCTCCAGGAGAGATATGGAAGAAATTGGAAACTCAGTTTATGACTAAATCTCTGATGAATAAATTGTATCTGAAGCAAAAGTTGTACGGGCTGAAGATGCAAGAAGGTATTGATCTGGTGCAACATGTTAATGGTTTCAATCAAATAATCACAGATTTATCATGGTTTGATGTGACTATTGAGGATGAAGACTGAGCAATGATTTTGTTGTGTTCACTAACTTCTTCCTATGAACACCTGGTGACTACTCTTACATATGAAAAAGAAACTATCAAAGTTGATGAAAAGTTGATGAGATCACTGATGAGATCACTGCAGCATTATTGGCTCACAACCAGCAGAAGCAGAATGTAGAGGAAAGCTCTCATGGTGACAGTTTATATGTTCAGGGTAAGCAGTATCGTGGAAGGAAGAAAGAGAATAAGGGTTCTAGAAGGTGAAATTTCAGATCCAGGTCCAAAGGCAAAAAGACAATTCATTGCTACAGTTGCAAGAAGTCAGGTCATATGAAGAGAGAATGTCCAAAGCTCAAGAAGCAGACTGAGGAGAAAGGTGATTGATCATCGAAGTCTGCAAATGTGGTGCAGAGTGACAATTTAGATTGTAGTGATGATGATATGCTTTCAGTTTCATCAACTCAGTTCACGGATGCATGGATTCTTGATTTAGGATGCTCTTATCACATAACAACTAACATGGAGTGGTTTACTTCATACAAGTCAATTAATTTTGGCTCAATTTATCTAGGTGATGATAGATGCTGCAATATTGTTGGTATTGGAGAAGTCAAAATTAAGATGTATGATGACACAGTTAGAACATTATGTGATGTCAAGCATATTCGAGATCTGAAGGAGAGTTTGATTTCTTTGGGCACTTTCCATAGAAATGGTTTCATTCCTAAGACAGATAAGGATAGGGAAACCATTAGAATTATTAAGGGTGTACCGACTGTGATGAAAGGAAAGTTAACTGCAGGTAATATCTACAAACTGTTGGAAAGTACATTTGTAGGTGGAGTTCATTTTATGAAGTCAGATGATGATAGTACAAAGATGATGATAGTACAAAGCTATACAAAGCTATAGCATATGCGTCTAGGTCATCTCAGTGAACGTGGGATGGCAGAATTGCATAGAAGAAATTTGTTACATGGTGTTAAAAACTGCAAGCTCAATCTTTGTAAGTTCCGTGTTCTTGGAAAACAGACTAGAGTCAGTTTTATGACAGGAAAACATAAAATTGAAGGGATTATTGATTATGTGCATTTTGATATATGGGGCCCTACCAAAGAATCATCATTGGGAGGATCTCAGTATTTTGTTACCTTTATTGATGATTTCCCCAGGAAAGTTTGGGTGTATTTCTTGAAGTAGAAATCTGAAGTCTTCTCTAAATTCAAGCTGTGGAAAGTTGAGGTGGAGAACAGAACTGGTTGAAAGATCAAGTATTTGAGGTCCGATAATGGCATAAAGTACACAAATTCACAGTTTCAGAAGTTCTGTAAGGAGCATGGGATTTAGAGGCATTTTTCAGTGTGCAAGATACCACAGTAGAATGCTGTGGCAGAAAGAATGAACAGGTTATTAACTGAAAGGGCAAGTTGCTTGAGACTGAA